CCGTCTCCTCCCGCCCCACCTCCCTCCAAACAAAGGAAGTGATCCCGTGCGAGGAAAGCTGGGGAGCCCTGAGCCTCGGGGTGGGGGGAGGCGGGAAGGGTCTGACGGGCGACTCCGACCTCGGGGCTGTGCCGCGGTGCAGCCTCCTGGAGTCGCCTCCCTTCCTTCCCAATGCGGCACGCGCGCGCGCGCGGCGGCGGCCAGTCCGGGCTGGCCCCAGCGCAGCATCCCACCTGCTGGACCCCGGAGCGAACCCTCCCTGACTTCCCAGAGCCCTCGCTGGACCCCGGGCCGCCGCCTCCCCACCCTCTCCTCCCCCGCAAACCTGCTCTCGCTAGAAACCCGGTCCCTGCAGCCTCCCCGCGTTCATTATTCCGCGGGCTGTATTCTGAGTCATTAGAATCCTTTCTCATCCATCTTTTAGAACAGCCTTTTAGTCTGTTAGCGATTTCCATTCTGCAGATGAGATCACCGAGGCTCGGGGTGGGGGGGGGGGAGTGTTTCCAAAACCTTCTGTGGGTCTCACACCCGGGGGGCCCCCTTACTCTTCTTCTCCTTCCCCTTCTCCTCCTCCACCTCCTCCTCCTCCTCACAGCACCTAAACCTTAAGGTATCTAGTTCAATCCTTGTACTGTATTCCAGAGAAAGAGACAGGCTCGGGAATAGAAGGTAGTTCCACAACAGGACTCCAGTTCCCGAGCATTAAAGAACCCAGCCCCACCGGGATCTCTTTCCTACTCTGCTCCTAGCCTGCCCCTGGTCACTTCCTGCCAGTTTTAGCCCAGGGGCACTATAATGCCCATTGGGGGTCCAACCCTCCTGGTCCCTGCAGAGATCCCAACCTGAGAACTCAGCAGCCATGCAAGAAAAGCAACCCCACACACACACCTCCATTAAGGAGGGCATGAGTCAAACTGGGGGACACCAGTGCCACGTTGCTCCCTGGTTGGATCTCAGGATACCTAGAGAGACATTCTACCAGGAGAAGGGTCAGAAACTGCACCCCCTGGGTGTTTTCTGCGGCCTGAGTATCTGGCAGGAGAAAGTGAGAGGAAAGACAGCTCTCACTTCTGGCTTCAGGGGGAACACGAATTCTGCACCTCCTCACACAACAAAACTGCAAACCTGCCTTAGGACAGACTAGCAAGGGCTGACTCCTCCTTCCTTCCCCGGCTTCTCCCCGGCGGACTTGCTTCCTCTCGTCAGTCCCTCAGGCACACTGAGTGACATTCTGCCAGCGCTCCACACCCACACCCTGCAAGCAAGCGCCCGGCCTTTGCATCCTCTGCCTCCCAGCCCTCTCCTTGGCAGAAGTCCTGTGTGACTCAAGACTCCACATTCTTCATTTCGACTTGATTTCCTAACGGCCCTCCATCCAGCGAGGCTGGCCCCGCTGGGCGCAGGGAGCAGGTGATTGGAGCCACCCACCCGCATCTCTAAAGGGCACTTGAGGCCCACCTCACCCCCACCTCCCCTTCTGCCATACACACATACCCTGGAATCTTCTTACCAAGGATTGTTGAAGTGGAGTTGATTCATTTGTGTATACCTGTTAGTAATTGGTGAGTTCCACAGATTTGAGCAAAAGAAGCTGAAACTCTCTCTTCACCCCTTCCTCTTCCCACGCTTGTCAATGCCCAGTGACAGGGGTGAGGTCCAGGGGGGAGGGGGGTGTTAAACCAACCTGTTTGAAAACCCAGCTAATAAGATGGAGTCCTTCTCCAGAGCTGTGCTCTGGGAAGAGTATATCATTTCTTTTGAGTCTCTGGCGCAGTGGGGGGGGGGGGAAGGGGAGAAATCGGGGAACGGGGAAGGATGGGGGGGATAACAGGTGATGTCCCTTGGGGCCAAGGCAGAGGGTCATTAGGTGAGGTAGAAAGAGCACTTGGCAGAGCTGAAGAGCTAACCGTTGGTTCTAGGTCCTGCTCTACTAGCTGTGCAGTCTCCAGTGAGTCGCTGTTCTCAATTTACCCATCAGTCAAGCAGCATCTATCATCCATTCCAAGAGGGGAGACCTGAGCTGAGATACAGAGGCGGAGCTGAATCTTCCCCCACCCCCTCCGGGAACCTTTGGAGCCTGGCTGGCCAGTGATTGGAGGTGGAGGTCAGCATCGCTCTGCATTGTGGGAGGGATAGAGCCAGAGCAGGTTGGGTTCAGGTATCTGGGGTCGATGATGAACCTCAACCTCTCTGGCTTTCACACAGGCCCCGGACCCCTGGGGTGACCCTGCCTACCCAGCTCCACCCCTGGTCCTCCCATGCCCTGAAGATATATGAGCCATCATATTTCACCACTGCCAGCCACAGAACCCCTTTTCCTCCTGTGTGCTGTAGCAGGAATCGCCGTGCTGGGAGGCGATGGCCGCTCCCACGGTGAGTGGTGAGGGAGAGTGGTTAGCACAGATTCCTTCTCAAAAAGGCAAGTACAGTAATCCTAGCTACCCCAGAGGCTAAGATCTGAGGATTGCAGTTCAAAGCCAGCCCAGGCAGGAAAGCTCATGAGACTCTTACTGATGTGTGGGAATTCAGTTTCAAGAAACAGAAAAGCCACGTTTTGAGAGGTCAAATTGGGAGTTTTTAGTGGAGAGCCAGCAACTGCAGGTGGACTCCAGTCTCAAAGACCTGCAGCCCAGAATGGAGCTTGCACAAAGCTTTTAAAAACAAAAAACACATGTTTGGGGTGGAAACCTAACCCCAACGAAAGCAGACCAGCTAGGGACATACTCAAGTCTGAGCAGAACTTTCCTGGGGCTAAACAGCATGCCATCTGTAATTCAAAGAACGGCCTACCTTCCCTCCAGGCCCCCACCACCCAGCAATGTGTCAGGATGGCCGTGAGGATGAGGCATGTTACTTAGCCCAGTGTCCTTATTTCTTTTTCTTTTTCTTTTTTTTTCCGGTCGTGGGGCTTGAACTCTGGGCCTGGGCACTGTCCCTCAGCTCTTCAGCTCCAGGCGAGCGCTCTACCACTTGAGCTACAGCGCCACTTCCAGTTTTCTGGTGGTTTATTGGAGATAGGAGTCTCACGGTCTCTCCTGCCCTGGCTGGCTTTGAACCGCGATCCTCAGATCTCAGCCTCCTGAGTAGCTA